TTATGTGAAATAAGTCAGACGCACAACTTTAAATATGGCATTGTTGTTCTGGTGTGAGAAATCCAAAGGGTAAGTAAGGAGCAAGATGGTAGGACCGACATTCAGAAGTAGGAAGAAAATGTTCCAGTGGAAAGAGAACAAGGAAGGGGGTTGGGGAAGGGAAGGAAGGGAGTAGGGATTTTTTAAGAAAGAATAGAAGGAAAACAATGGAAACAAAGTTTTGCAAATAGGGAGGGGAAGAAGGGCTGAAGGAAGGGGGGATGGGGAAAAAAAGAAGAGCCAAGATATATTATGTACAGAGGGCCAGGGTTTTAACTCAGGGGTTCTGCAGCCTTTTAAAAATGGTTTCTGACTAGGCACTCAAATATGGTGAACGTTTTACTGGATTTCTCCTCCATTTTCAGTTTGCCATGTGGATAGTCACTTTTGGAGTAAAATCTTATGCTATTCACGTAGTTTACAATAACTGTGTGATTCTCTAGGAACTAGTGCTGCTGGCCTGGTCTGTGGGTTCTCCCTGGAGCTGCTGACCTCCTTTGGGCTTAGCTTGTGTCAGTGTAGACAAGCTCTCTCCCCAGGAGCCAAGGTTAGCTTTCCAAACTGCTGTGTTCTTTTCCCTGCACAGTGTTCCATTTCTCCCTCTTCTCCATAGTTTGCAGTTTTCCTGCCAGTTCCCTTCCAATTCCCAGAGATCTAACTTTTGTTGTTGTTGTTTCATGAAGTTGTTGTTTGCCAAGTGTCTTGATTCTACATTCAGGAGAAGCTATATTTTACTGCCGGTCACTACTGTGCAATTTAAAAAATTTGTATATGCCCTAAATTTAAACAAAATTTCTCATTGGGTTCTCAAGAAAAATGTTTTTCATGAACACAATATCAACCCATATGACTTAAAAACATAGATGAAAGTGCGCCAATGTAAGTAAAAAAAATATGGAAAATGCTTTGATAGTTAAAAAATCAAAGCATTTATTGACTCAGTGAGAGAAATTCAGTGTGGGGCTATGTTGACGTGGTAACCAAGTATTCTAGAATTCTAATTAGATATAATGACACTATTTAAAAGTGCATAGAAAAGTGGATCATTTGTGTTTGCATTTGACGATGTTGACTAAATAATCCCCTAATGCAGTGGGGTGAACTGATGGCACGCACGGTGGGCACACAGAACCCTCTCTGTTGGCACATGAGCCAGTCACCCCAGCACTGCCCAGCAGCTGAGCATTGCATAACAGTGCAGATGGGGGCCATGCACACGCTCAGAAAGGATCAGTGGTGCCAAGCTATGATATTGTGAGCAGTGACTCATTAGCCACGACTCATCCAAACTTTTGCATTGCCTGTCAATGTGATGCTAAGGAGATCTATCTATCTATCTATCTATCTATCTATCTATCTATCTATCTTTGTTTAGACTTCCTGTGAGTTTTAATTACATTCAGTTTTACTAATGCAAGGTTTTAGCTTTGAGTTTTCATAAGAAAAAATGAAATTTAATATCTAAGATTTAGCAAAGAGATGTTCTCATTAAGAGACAGAATCACTCAATAAAAAGAAAAAAAAAGAGACAGAGTCATTTAATGTGCTGCCCCACTGGCATATTTGAATCTGCAGCATCACATTTAGTTGTTTGTGAAGAATTTATGAAAAAAGGGGCAATGATATATATATATTTATATGTATGATATATACATTATATTATATATATACATATATGTATATATATATTTGCTTGGACTGTCTGTGGCTTTAACAGAAGCCCCCACAAGGTAGGAAATACACTCAGACGCCTTTTCAGACCAAGCCAAAAACTGGTGGTCAGTGGAACATTGCCCCCTTGCGCTGATGGTCAGCAAATTCAAGCGGAACCCCACCTAAGAATCACTGCATAGCTTGGTGATTCAGAGAGTATCCCATTTTTTATTGTTAACCAATAGTGTTAGCTATTTTTGGTATAGGGATAGATTTGTGTTGGGTGTTTCAATTTTTTAAATTTTTGTGTTTTTGTAGACTTGAAGTCTTGAATACTAGAAAATGGCTACAGCAAAACAAACAAACAAACAAATAAAAAGCAAAACTAAAAACAGATAATGGAAGATCATTTCATAAGGCCTGGACAGAGTCACATGGGGTGACTGAACACAACTGAAAAGTGTTACAGGTATCCTGTGTAGGGAAAGTGTTGTGTGTCATACATCAAGTGTCACATAGCACTTCAACACCAACTACAAGTGTTGCCAAACTTGGTGAAAATGAAAGGAAAGAGTTTCTTGAAGGGAAATTGAGGAAATATATTCCCAGTATCATTGTTTTTGCAACTATCTTTCTAAAATAAATCATCTGACAGCTGACAGCTTTCAGATTTCACTGTGCATAGCAAAACATGGTTAGCCCCTCTCTGATGGGGATTTTATCAAAATGGCCATGCTGTCTAAGAGCAGTTCCCTTTTTCATGATTTCCTAAAAAAGGTCAAAATTATGCAATGCCACTTAGCAGAAATATTGCTAAAGATTGAGTCCAGCACATGGCAAGTGATGTTAGTCAGCAGTTCACTGACTTACAAATGGCAGCCTGTTATTCCACATATTGGATGGAAGATTTAAGTAATTCCATGCAGTCTGTGTCACTCAGGAGTCCATCCAGAGACAGACTTTTTCTCAGGTGGGTAAGTCTTTTGTCTAGTGAAGACCATTGACAGAGGACCACTTACAAAGACTGGGCAAGGTTAAGAGAACAAACGAGAAGTTAGCATTTGCTGGAGCTGTTCCTATTCCTGGGACTGAAAACGCAAGGAAGGAAACAGTGTTATCAGAACCCACAACCCTAAAGGAAAAGCCACAAAATCACTAGTGGAGGGAAGGTGTACATACTTCCAGAGACAGAACACCAACACAGGGAGAGATTGGGCAAGAAAAACCACAAACTCTTTCCCTTCACTCTCTAATCTTTTTTAGCTACCTCTTAGTCAAATCAATTGGAAACCAGCCCACCAGTGACCAAATGCTGCAGTCTACAGGGCCAACCATCCAGGACCTAGCAGAAAGTATGAAAATGAATCATGGGCAAGGTAGGTGAAAGTTGGAAAGGGCAGAAGATACGTGCAAAAGAGCACAAGTCAGATCATCTCACTCCACTGCTCAAAACCCTCCAATGGCTTTTTACCTCACTCAAAGCAAAATCTGAAGTCCCTGCACTGTCCTGCAAGGTCATTTGGTCCCCAACCTACACATCATTTTCTAGCATGGCAGTTGCTTACTTAAGTCTTGTTGAAAACAGATCATAGATTAAAAGTACAGAGAAACAGAGTCCAGGCAGAAGACTTTTGCAAAAATATAAGTAAGAGATAATGGTGGTTTGGTTGCATAGCAAATCAAAGTCTGAATGCTGAAAATATTTTGAAGGTAAAGTCAACCAACTTTGTGACACATTGGATACGAGTCGTGAGAAAAAAGAGCAATCTCGACTACAAATGGTTTGGTCTGAAGCAATTAGAAGAATAGAGTTGTAGTTTACCAAGATGGAAATACTGCAGGAAGAGTGGTCTCAGTTTGGAGCAAAAATTCTCATGTTCATTTTGGGACAAGTAAAACTGGAGAGGCCCAGTCACTACAAAATGGAGATATCGAGTAGACATTTAGCTGCAAGGGAATGGTCCTGGCAGATAATATGAATTTGGTGGGTAACACTTGGTGATATTCAAAGCTGAGAGACTGGATAGGATCACCGAGTTGGTGAGGGTAGACAAAGAAGAGAAAAGCAGCAATTCCTGTACTACTTCCAAGGACTGGAGACTGGGGGACGACAGAGAACAAACACATGAAACAGGGAGGGACTAACCAGGGATACGAGAGGAAAACCAAGAACTGCCTGGTCAACAAACTGAAGGTGGAGAACTGGTTGGTGGCCTTGGTGAAGTCGGCGCGGTGGGAGGTCCAAGACGGAACTAGAGGAGAGGACATAGATGAGGCTAGATGGGTTTTGTGGGAGGAAATATTGGCATTTTCACAGGTCTCTTTGGTTCCCTATTTGTCGTCGCTTCAGCACGTCTACCAAGGTCCTCCTAGACCAGCCTGGTTATCAGTAACACGAGACTCAAAACCAACCAGCTGCATTTCAGAACCCCAGCTGTGCCTTGCCTCTTACTCAGTAGGTTACGAGACAGCTAGCTAGCTTGCTTTCCCTCCCTCTCTTTCTTTCTTGAAAAGATAAAAATTTAGCACATTTGCTTACATTTATCATGGGGGTTTTTACATGTACATAATACATCTTAATTCTTTTTTCAATCCCCTTCTAACTTTTGGTTCCCTTACCCTTTGAAAAAGCTCCATTTCAATATTTTCTTCAATTCTCTTCTTTTTTTAATCCCTTCCCCTTCCCTACCTCCCACTCCCTCCATCTCTTGTTCCCCTTCTTATTTGAAAAAGGTCTCCCTACTTCTTATTGTCTATTTTATACTTTGCTCTTTATTTATACTTTCAGTTTCTCATATAAGAGAAAATATGCAATAAATGCGCATGTACTTTATTTCCCTTAGTATTATGGTTTCAAGGTACATCCATGAGGCAGTTTTCTTAACCTCTCTGAGGCTCTTTTAAAAATATAAATAATATTTCCTATACTATAGAACTGTTATAAAAATAGATACAATTAAATGAGGTCCTGAGCCCTACATCTCTTGTTAATTTTACATTTCTTAAAATACAGATCTGATTATGCCAGCGTCTGTTCCTTTTCCATTGTCTTTCATCAGATGAGCCCCCAAATGCTGTTTTATTTCCTTCAGATTTTATACTCCAGAAATATAAAGATATTTGTAGGTCCCTAAACCTTTCTAGGACAAAAGACAAGACTTAGCCCTTGAACTCCTTTAGGGTTTAAATTCAGGAGGTGCCATGAACAAGGACTTCCACTAGAGGGTGAACAAGGAAAGAGGGAGAAGAAGAGAAATCGGTCACCTCTGCTGGTTTGACGAACGTCATAAATTTGCCCAAGATGCAGTTTTTATGTGTGCTATTACCGGGACAGGCGTTAGCCGAGGGTTTTTGAGAGAAAGGCGGGGGGGGTAAGGAAGAAGAAGGAGGAAGAAGGAAAAGACAACAAGGAGGAGGAGGAGGAGAGAAAAAAGGAAGAGGAAGAAGAGAAACGAGGAGGAGGAGGAAGAAAAATTACAACTACAATAAGTATGATATGGAGACAAAGAATAGAAGGGAGGAAAAGATGCATGGGGGGAAAGAGAGAGAAACGTCTAGAAGCAATACCTTCTTGTTAGCAGGTTGCTTTGTTGTAGGGGAGAAAAGTCTAGAGAAGGGGTGGGGAAAGAGTAGAGCGGGCAGGAGGAAGGGCAGGAGGAGGATGTGAGACTGGGCTAGAGAAATGAAAGCAAGCAAGCCTTACAGGTGGCACTTGGGACAATCTCCCTGAAGTGCGGCAGCTCCCTTTCCAGGGACCGGGACCCCCAGAGGCTGAGCTGAGAAGGTGCAAGAACCAGAGGAGACGCAAGCAAAGCCATGGTGAGCTTCCAGCCCACATAATTTCCAAATACTCAGATAGAAACTCTTCTTGGAGCTGCAGGGCCAGGTCACAAGGGAGTAAGAGACAACTAACCTCATCTGTGGTTTTAAAAATTGTAGAAAAAGTTTTAAAAATGCTCTCAGGGTCTCAAAAAAGTGATCCTGGAATCTCTCCCCTCAGGTGTGTTAATGTCCATGCCCTGACATTGTCTCTGGTGAGATTCTACTTTTGCAACAAAACACAACAGCTACCTGGAAAATTATATGTTTCAGAAAGTATGGTTTTAAAGTCTGCATAAAATAGTTGGTTTTTCTCATTTAAGTTGCTTGAAAACATACTTATTTGTATCAAAATGCAGTTTTTCTTTCCTGGCCACTGTGAGAGTATTTGATTCTTTGAGGCACTGACCCATTGTGATCAAATGTAGGAAGATATTAGTAAATCTAAATATCACTAGTTCATTAAGCACAAAAGCACTTCTTAAATTATGCATATCAGATGTTAAACATCACATCAGATGTTTGATGTCAAGGCTGAACAGAAAGGTGGCTACAAAAATTACTGCAATACAGAAAAACATCACTGCAATAATGATCTGCCACTTGAGACTAAAAAATGAATTCAAAACTATGTATCAGTTTGGGGGAAAATTTGATGCAAGTCTTGCATTTATGTCCGAGAACATTATTACTCTGGATAAGATTAGAATAAGTGCTGTGTTTTGAAATTTAAGGAAGTTGTAAGAACCATCTCAATCAACGTGCTGTACATTTGTGGTTTACAATAGAAATTTCCTTTTGTATTTTATTGCAGATACTTTCATGGAAATGTCAGAGTTCTCCAAGAAGCTCATGGGACATCTTCAAACTGTGGGTCTGGACAGTGCTCTGTTGTGGTATGTTGTGATATTTTCTTGAATATCCATTGAGAGTAAATAGTTACAGAAAAATTATTTGGTAGGCCATTACAATTCTGTCCTTTCTATGAACATCTTCCTCTTACCTTAGCAATTCCCTGGGAATCTCCTGATCCTATCTTTACCTGCCGTGGCCCTTGCTTCCAGGTCCAAATCCTGATAATCTCACAAAAGTTTCAGTTATGAAGGAATACAGTTAATTAAGAAATCTCTCAGAAGGCCTTTGTAATCCATGCCAATTATTTAGCATTTCATTTTCTGTTAATTGAATGCACATCAGTGGAATTTCTACAGCTATATTCTAGCTCCTTAAGGCAGGGGCTTTTAATTATTTTCATTCTTCTTCACTGATGTTACAAGTTTTGCATCTGAGTCTTAAGGACTCTCCAGCAATAGTTTTGAATTTTCTCTCCCATTTCTTAAATAAGCTCATGTCTTCTTACCTCATCACTTGGGTTTTCAGCTCTGACCATGCAAACACATCTACCATGCTATTCATTCCCAATGTGATAAAAATTATGGTGAATGCCTAAATTACAAAAAAATTACAGTAAAAGACACATTATTAATCCCCCTCAAAACACTACCCCCATAACATTTCCTACCATTCCCTACAACACTTTCCCTACCATTCCTGCCACTTTCCTAAGCAGTTCTGGAAGTCTTCTCTTGTGAGTGTCTTTAGTTGCACTGTTGTGGCTGACTCAATGCTCTGAGTCTATGCAAACTGTTCACGTGCCGTGGTCACTTCCGACTTTGGGGAAGAGCCAGAAACCACATGGTTCCAGGTCCAGTGATAAGATAGCCGAGGACATACTACGATGTTTTGGAAAACCTGCCTTTCATTGGATGACATTTGGCAGTAGCTTTCAACATATTTGGATCACACCGTTTACAGACACTCAGGGAATCAGACTTTCAGAACTGTTCTAGAAAGCAGCAAGAACAAGTGTTTGTGTATGTAAGGTGAGCAGAGGATGGTGAGGGGGATTAATGCCTATGTGTCTTTTGCTGTGATGTGTTTTTAAGACTTAAACATTCACCATCATTTTCAATCACCTCTTTCATATTCCCTATCCTGTGTCAGCCTCATGTCTTATTTTCATTCAACAAGAATTTTCAGTTTTAGATATTGAAAAATACAGCAGTGGCCACAATAATTTATTTCATGTTAGAATTCACATTCTGGTGGAATGGCACTTTCAAAGCCACGTGTATGATGCTATTGTAAGATACACTTCACTCATAAATCACATTTTCTAGTTCTGTGCTCATTTCTAGAGTATGGGATCTGATCGAGGTTAGTTATCTCGTCTTTGCATCTGTTTTTCCTTGTCCAGAACCTGGAGAGACTGTAAGAACTGGATCTAACATTGATCTGGCATTTCTCCATGGTGCTCGCCTCACACCGTGAAAATGCAACAAAGATAGAGGGTTGTGAAAACTTTAAGCTCACTGTGCAATGGTATTTCCCATAGATCACACCTTGTTAGAATAGCATCTAAAGTTATGGAGACATTGTATAATTATGAATGATGTGTTTAATTGTGTTTCTTCAAAGCCCTTATAGTTGAAGCACCCATATGTTTATTAAGCACTCTCAGTCAGGTGTCTTCCTATCTTATAAGCCTAATATCATCAATTTCATAACCCTACATCACTTGGTTTTGTAAATCCTTTTTTTTTCCTACAGGAAACAAATAATAAATAAGGCTAACATAAAATAAGGCTTGGACTATGAGTTGAGGCATTCTCAGAACAGCTTTTCTTATAATACATTATTTTCTTTGTGATATGGAAGAGATATGTAAAAGTATGTCATTGTTCTTATTTTGGTTTTCCTTGAGGAAGAAGCCAAAGGAAATTGATACATATATCAGGGAAACAGTAATACATGTTGGCCTTTAGGAAATTATCCTGGGACTTTGAAAAGTAGACTGTAAATTTTACAATTATATGCTATTACACTTTAATTGTTTTCAAATAACAGCCACCAAGAAAATAAAATATGCATTTCTTTTCTTTTCTTCTTTTTCTGTTACTAAGTATTGAACACATGGCCTTTGCACTGAGCTACATCCCTGGACTCCTTTTAATTGTTTGTTTACTTGTTTGTTTGTTGGGGTCCCACTAAATTAATAAGTTGCAAAGGCTGAGCTCAAACTTGCAATCTTTGTGCATCAGCCTCTGAATTTCTAGCTGGGGATATAGCTCAGTGCTGGACTGCTCGCCTAGAAATTCCTGGGTTCAATTCCTAGCACCGCAAAAGGAAAAAAAAATGTGAATTTGTAAAACATGTTGGTTAAATTTCACTTGAAAACATTTTCAGACAAAGCTATTTCATGAAAATAAATCTAGAGAGCCAGCACATTCCAGTAAAGCAACACCATGAGTCAAGGCTTCTACATTCAGATCAGAAGGTCTGAGGTCAACTGGGGATCTGCGAACCAGTCACCTGGTAGCTCCCTCTCTTTTCCTCATCCTCCAGTGGGGGGCTTGGTCTGGTTTAGCGCTGAGCCCTCACAGGTCACGCTGGTGTCTTTCAGATTTCCTGGCACATCACGGGACTGACTGCTGGACTTACCATTATTCTGCAAAACCCATGAAGTGGGAAGATGCTAGGAAGTTCTGTCAGGAAAATTACACGGATTTAGTCGCCATCCAAAACAAGGGAGAGATCGAGTACCTGGGGAAGACACTGCCCTTCAGCCGCAGTTACTACTGGATAGGGATCCGGAAGATAGGGAATACGTGGACGTGGGTGGGAACCAACAAACCCCTCACGAAGGAAGCGGAGAACTGGGGAGCTGGGGAGCCCAACAATAAGAAGTCCAAGGAGGACTGCGTAGAGATCTACATCAAGCGGTCTCAAGACTCGGGAAAGTGGAACGACGACGCCTGTCACAAACGGAAAGCAGCTCTCTGCTACACAGGTGGGAGTTACCGCACCGCGGCGCTAACTCCTGCTCAGGGCCGCCGAGGCCTGGGGTGCGGGTGGGGGCGGGGACAGCAGTTGCTGACTCATCTTTATTCACTTACTTACTTACTTATTTATTTTGGTTTTTTGAGACAGGGTCTCACTATGTAGTTCAGACTGCTCTGGAACTGTGTAGCCCAGGCTGGTCTCGAACTCGCAGCGATCCTCTTGCCTCAGCCTCCCGAGTGCTGGGATTACAGGCGTGTGCCACCACGCCTGGCGCTGATTCCTCTTAAAACACTTCCAGTCCTCTAGATCAGTTGGGTCCTGTTACCTTTTTAGTGTGTAAGGCTGATCTCTCTACCCCTGAACGCAGTTCTCTGGAGGCGAGTGGCCCACTGTGGGAGGTAGGGAGGAGGAGCTGGACAGCCATGGACTGGTTCCTACCTTAGGTTCCTTTCATCTATTTCCTCCTTGAGGAGCAGGGGGCCTGTGCTAGACTTTTTCTTCTTGGCCTAATCTTATTAAATCCGTATAGCAAAGCACTGCACTATCGGTGTATGCAAATTTATTTCGGTAAACAGTATTGTGAAATTCTAACACAGAATTTTTCCAAGTCATATTTTAACAGTGAAATGTAGTGAATTTGGTCTTTTATAAATTGGATCTTACCACGTTAGAATGTTTGGATGTCTTAACCTTAGCACTTTCTATAAAGAGAGTGATTGTTAAGCAGAGTGCAGAAATGATATGCATATTATATGAAAAAAACAAATTATTTCAAGAGTTTCCATATATGCCCCTGAGTTTCCCCAAAATGTTATATCATTACTATCAGTAAATTTATTCTAAAACAGAATAAATGCCTGTGGCCAGATTTCGGCACACGACTTTTATGCAAACACTTTTGTGAATGTATGAAAAAGAGCCTTCCTGTTTATTAAAACAGTCTCCAACAAAAAGGTAACTATGTCTAAGGAAATGACTGTGAGTGCTGAAATGAAATCCCATTAAGACATTTTCTTCTAACCTCAAAGCTTCTTGCAAGCCTGGGTCATGCAGTGGCCGTGGAGAATGTGTGGAAGTCATCAATAACTACACCTGCAGCTGTGATGCGGGGTACTACGGGCCCCAGTGCCAGTCTGGTAAGCCCCTCTCCCTTCTTCGTCTCTCCCCATACAAAATCACGGGAATCATCACAACTTATGTTAGAAGTTGGTTGGGACAAAATGATGCTAGCCATTCTGAGAAATGGGAAGTTTTGATCCGAGGTGTGCTTTCACAATGGCTTTCTGTAGCGATTTCACAAGTCAGCACAAAGTTCTGCTGAATTAGGAAAGTCACTTCTCTGCACGGTCTTGAGGGCAGGGTTTGTTTTGTTTTGTCTTGAGTACCACAAAGAACAAGGTGGTCGCAAGAAGGAATCAGGCACGAGAGATTCCCACTCTCAGGGAGCCCCCAATCTAATGAGCATCCTGGATTAATCAGAACTCTAAAATCTGAAACTACAGTATTTATCATTAGGAGGGTGAGTTGACCCAGAAGGTAATCTTGCTTTTTTAAGAGCAAATCGTTTCATATAATGACACACAGCACATGTAACAAATTCTACATATTTATTTGGGCTGGGTATTTCAGGAGAAAACCAAGGTAAATCTATTCTATGTTCTGCCTTTAAAGGAGCTATAGTTCATGAATGGAAATGACTTATGTTTGTGTTTGAGTTTGGTGGAAAGAAGAAAACTGGGGTATACTTGTGGGTTCTGGAGACCGCTGACTGTAGGAAGCTGGCCTTTCTTTGGCAATGATGGGCCACTCTGCATTGAATAGTGGTATACAGGGAAATCATTCTAGAAACGGCAGATGGCATAGACTGGAAAGCAAAAAGAGAAGATGGAGCGGGTGATTGGTGGTGGAAATGGAGAGAGTGCAAAGATTCAAAGCCAGGATCTTTGACCGAATCAGTCACTACTGAAGAAAACATCAGATCCTTCGAATGAGGCCAGTCTGGTTTTAAAACTGTAAAGTATCTGGTGCACAAAAAACTTATAAGAAGAAAAAAGTTTACAAAGAATAAAGAATTAAAGCCAAAATAAATTTAAATGTCAACCTGTCATTGCCTGGTGCCAAATAAAGGCCACTTCCCCCACTCAGCAGCCTCCAGTCCCCACAACCCCCAGTTGTCTGCTTTCTACCAAACTCAACAGAAATTGATCTAACCTATTTAATCCTTGAGCCATGACTCTGACTCAATATGTTACCCCCATCCAGGACTTTAAAAATTCCTATTATGGTTATGCCAGAATGCCTTTCTAAACATTGTCTTCGTCCTCACCTCCTCCTTCTTTTCTTCCTCTTCTTCCTTCTTTTTTTGGCTTTCCATCATATCATTCTTTTCAGGTTGTCTTTTTACCTAGGATCATTTCTCCTGGGTTCCTTTATAGACACTTAGTCAATCCTATAAACTAGTTTTATTTCTCAGCCTCTGTGTTGTCTACTGAGCCTTTGAGTGTTTGTGGTCCTTTTGGTCAAACCTACTGGCCGTCATGGATTTATAAATACATATGATCATTGGACTGACAAATCTGTCTCATGCCAAATATGCTAAGGATATCCTTTGGGAGGTCCAAAAGATGGCATATAAAGCCAACTGGCCCCAGCTACCTTTCCCCTTTGTAATTTTTATCTCAGGATGTGGAATCACCCATTACATGGGTTATGGTGTGAGACTCCCACCTCTGATGTTTGTACAAGGCAACATACTACCAATTTTCATAACCTTTTTCTAATTTGTCTCCTCTCCTCTTTGTCAACTGTATTAGCATTGCCTTCATTGTCTCTCTCCTAAATTATTGCAGTGGACTCCTAGATGAGCTCTACAACTGTAAATTAGCTGCTCCCCTCCCATATGTTACTCATACTATAGGTAGGCGGATTAACTTAAAACACACACACGTGAATAACTGTATACTTTTTAATTTACAGCTATCATTTGTCCTACAGGATGAAATCTAAGCTCCTGAAGGCGTAGAGTAACACTGAATATGTAATAGGTACTCATAAATCAGTGAAAAAGAGTATTTGGTCTTAGCTCCTATCTTTCTCATTGATCACATCTTACATTCCCCCCGGCCTCTTCTTTCCTTTTAGTAATACTTATAGTTCTCCACCAACCCTATGTGCTTTGTATCTAATTGACTGTGCTGCTGGCCTTCTCTTTCACTGTGCACATGACTAATATAGCTGTTCATTTTAGTACTGGGGCCACTTCTTCCAGGGATATTTCTTTAAACGTCAAGACAGACATGTCTATCAAGTAGCAGAGCTGGGATTCAAATCCAGGCATCAGATCCCCTTAACCCTTCCTAATACTCTTCCTCTCTTTACAACAGTGGTCCAGTGTGCACCTTTGGAGGCCCCAGAGCTTGGCACCATGGATTGTATTCACCCTTTGGGAGAATTCAACTTTAGCTCACAGTGTACTTTCAACTGCTCTAAGGGAACAAACCTAATTGGGATGGAAGAAACAACTTGTGGGCCATTTGGAAACTGGTCCTCTCTAGAACCAACTTGTCAAGGTGAGTGACTTAGGACTAGAGGCTTTGTCATGGTGATTCTGGGTCTACAGTCCGAAAAAGTGCAGAAGAATTTTGCTAAGAAGGCCGCAACCTCCTTTGGAACAAAATTTAACCTAATTTAGATTTCACTGTGAAGCTTTTCAAAGGGGTTTTTCTTACTAAAATTTAAAAGAAAACCTCCAAATGAAAATACAATCAAATGCCTCCAAAGCTGTCTAACAGTGCATGTCATGATTTGTAGCAATACAATGTGCTTATTGTGTTTTATTTTTCTACTTGTTGTGGTATAATCAGTCTTGCTCAACCTCAGTTAAATTTTGGTTGCTCTCCTCTCAGTAACACCTATTTTATGTGGTGTCCTATTTAACACCAACTGATTTCCTTCTCAGAGGGTAGAGGGCTGTCTTGTTTTATTTGGTGCATTCTTAAGATCATCTCATACTTTTCCTCCCACACGAACTCTCAGGAGGATAACAGCTCCTGCGAAAAACAAAAACCAATTCGTTGGTCGTTTTAAAATCTGAACTATAGTAAGCTTCCCTAACCTCTTAGCTGCCAAAGTTATCCTTACACAGGAGAAAATGGGTAGTCTGCATTTGTAAAATCTTGAAGTCATTTTCTACATTTATGCTCCCAATTCAACAGTTTAATAGTTTAACTCTCAAAAGAAATATCAGAAGCAACCCACCTGCTTAATTTTATAGAAGTTGGTGTTGCTTCTGAGAATTGAGATTTTTTTTTTTTAAAAGTTCTTGGGTAGACTTTACAACAGGTGGAGAAGTGGAAGCTGTGCACTCCCTGAGGACAGTCTGCAGGTGCTCTTGCGGCAGATGCCGTGGCTGGAGAGCCAGCAGGTGGGGCAGTAGCCTGCAGCAGCCACCCTCACTCCACTGCAGGCTTCCCTGCCCTATTGGCTTCATTCATGACCTATCATAGTCTCATCATGTTCAGTAAAACAATGTCTGGGAGCATTATCAGAAGGAAACTCTGGCAATTAGGAATTTCTAGATTCATGCGAATGGTTCCACAATTAAGTCAGATAATTGTAACTAAAATCCTTTGGTCAAGAGAAGGTCTCTGCTCAGAAATACTGTTTTGTGTTATTTTTGTTCTTTTTCATTGAAGCGATTCCGTGTGAGCCCCTAACAGCACCTGATTTGGGGACCATGGAGTGTAGTCACCCCCTGGCCAATTTCAGCTTTACTTCTGTCTGTACCTTTGATTGCTCAGAAGGAACTGAACTCATTGGAGAGAAGAAAACTACTTGTGGCCCAGTTGGAACGTGGTCTAATCACAGTCCAATATGTCAAAGTAAGTTTGCCCCATATTCTGAAAGTTTAGCAGATGTTGGGGAAAGATATACTAAACTTTTGAACTTCATTTTGCTAAACATATGTGGCCTAAACATGTATTTATATGCATCACCCTACTTTAAAGCCTTCGTTGTTGTCTCTTTTAATGACAGTCATTTGCTTTTTTTCATTCTTTTCTCTTTTTTTTGGTACCGGGGACTGGATTCAGGTCCTTGCGCTTGCAAGGCAGGCAGAGGAACCACTGAGCTAAATCCCTGGCTCTCTTTTTTTTCATTCTTAACTCTTAAAATCCAAACCCACTGTTCTTACTGACTTTGGAATGGATTTCTCATCCATTCTTCCATTCCACTAAAATGTGACTTTTTTGTTAATTCCCTGAAATGCCTCTACAAAGGTTACCAGTGGTCACCTAGTTCCCCAAATAATAGCTACTTCTCAGTGATCATTAAGCCAATGTCTCCCAAAGCTGTCCGTGTTCGGATCACACACCTCCTCATCTTTGCATACCCCCACCCCACACAGTACTTGGTAACAGGTGCTACAGTAAATGCACAATGAATTAGCATATGAAAGGATAGTTGCCAGTGTCTGCCCTAGACCATCTGCCTAGATATTAAGTGGTAGGATCTGTAGATGTTGTCAGAGAAACTGACTGCTGTGTATGTGTGGAATGAAGTAGGCAGCAGAGAGATGGGGGAGACCTTTAGGGGAGGACTGTGGGTCAGCCTTATCAGGTAGGTATATTTGTCTAAGGCCTAGCTAGTGTCCATTTTCTTATCTTTATCGAGCCAACATGTCTTTTGGTTGGAGCCTCTGGAATTTGAGCCTCTTCTCCATTGTGTATGTGAGTTGAGGATGAAAATACCTTGAACGGATCCATCAAAGCAGCATGAAGAATGAGGGACCAGTTAGACCCCATTCCCATATGTGGAAGTAGATTCCCTCAACTGGAGCCATCACAAAGCAGATTTTTTAATTTTTTTTTCCAGTAAAAACCCACAAATGAACCTAGTTTACACTTACAAAAGGGTGTGGAGATGCGTCCTTTTGCTAATTTGTGAAGAACATGAAGAGAAACAGTAAGACTATATCATTTGATAGATCAGTGTGGATTCTTTGCATATAAACAAGTACTTATTTTTGCACTACTGATTTTTGGGGTTTTTTTGGGGGGTACTGGGGATCAAACTTGGGTCCTTGTGCTTGCAAAGCAGGCAGCAGAACCACTGAGCTAAATCCCCAGTCCCTGCACTACTGCTTTTTAAACATACAGGAAAAGCAATACTAGTTTATTTTGACTTATAAGACACCCAGTTCAGATCACTGGCTTTTCTTTTTCCTAAAGTTGTATTAGACTTTTCAGGTCTTCTCTATGCTTCACAGTTCAAGTCACTTATCCAGACCATGGAGTCAAACACATTGATGACCACACATTACCAAGAGTTTCAGACACAATCTCAGGAATTTCCTGCATGATGTATCTGGGGACTGAGATTGCATAGGCATTAGGCCAGAGGCTGGTCCAGTCTTTGCCTCTGCTATAGACTCCTCTTGGGAGTTTTCTCATCTGTTAAGAGGCATCAAATGGGCCAGTGTTGGGGGGCATTAGAAGGAAAAAGTCAAAATCATGCAATGGACTAAGGAAATATGCTGTGGCCTTATGTGTGTGCCTTATTGATTTCTCTTTCAGAATCGGACCAAAGTTTCTCAATGATCAAGGAAGGTGATTATAACCCCCTCTTCATTCCAGTGGCGGTCATGGTCACTGCGTTTTCCGGGCTAGCCTTTATCATCTGGCTGGCAAGGCGACTAAGAAAAAGTATGTGAATTTAACTTCATACGAAAATAAAGCAACCCACAGGAAATTAGGTGCAATAGATTCAACTGAAGCAGGGGCATAGACCTCAGTCCCTGGGGACATGTAAATCAGTCAGTACTTACCTTTACTAAAACAAGCCGGCTGACTTTTGCTTTTCATTAGGCAAATCTTCAAAAAAAAAAACCTATTGTTTGCAAGGCACCTTGCTAAGGGAGTAATAGCTAAATGAGATATTCTAATGGTTCTTTGTTCTTAATTTTGAAAAAAGGATGCATAATCTCTGTCCCCTAAGAGCCTACACACCTTTCATTTGGAAGTGAGTCTAATGTCCACATAGGTTCTCAAGGTTCTGCTGTCAAATACCTGGCCGCTTTAGAGTCACACACTTGCCCACCTCCCGACATGAGTGAGTTGCATTATTCATGAAAGAAATCCCATGTGTTCTCCATGATGTCACCAAAGCCACAGTGCTTTCCCTCCAGAAGAAAAGGGAAGAGAGAGGACTGCCTTGAGCAATTATTATCTGTTGTCTGGACAGTATGTGGCGTGACACCAGAGAAGAACACAGCATTACTGCCCTTTCCTCCCAGCTTTCTGCTTTCATGCCTTAAAGTGGGATTAATCTTTCAGCTTCAGGCTCACAGTTGGCTGCCGGCTTTGGGGGAGCATTTCTGGACAGTATGTGGCGTGACACCAGAGAAGAACACAGCATTACTGCCCTTTCCTCCCAGCTTGCTGCTTTCATGCCTTAAAGTGGGATTAATCTTTAGCTTCAGGCTCACAGTTGGCTGCCGGCTTTGGGGGAGGACCATCACATTTGGCCAAACTCATTATAAAATTCATAGGCATTGGGCAGTTTTTAAACTACCTAGTTTCCAGTTCAGGGTTGTAGATGACCTCCAAACAATTGCTAAGCTTTCCGTAGCATCCATTGACTGCCATCTTAATTTCTCTTCTATCATTGAGTTAGTATGGATTGTGTTTGCTGGATATGGGACTTAAAGATTTTCCAGCCCTAGCACTGGCTACTGCAGAAATATCATCTATCAACACCTAATGGACTTCTGGTGTGATGTGATCTTTCACCCAACTTTAGGAACAGAAAGTGCTAGATGAGTTTTCTAACTAACCCAGGAAGACAATGGAGGGAACCCTATCTATGTGCAGGAAATTCATTAGCTATAACCCGAGAACACAGAATGGTTAACATGTCTCTTCTCCCACTGTTAGAAATTCTGTGGTGATGGGATCCCACCATCATATAATATTATTCTAAATACTTACGTACTGCATTAAGGCAAAAGGAGAATGACCTTGCTTTCTCATCATGAATTAGTTTTTCCATTGAGATGGCAGAGCTTGACCCCAACGGTCCTTTCCTTGACTGATGATGGCAAAACTGAGTGGAGAGAATAGGGTGGGTAACCATGTGCTGATCTCTGGAACAAAGCAGCTCTTATCTCCATAACTTTAAGGGCAGCAGGGCTATAAATCATCTTTTTTTTTTTGCTATCGGATATTGAACTCTGGTCCTTGCGCTTGCAAGGCAGGCCACTGAACTGCTGAGCTAAATCCCCGGCCCTATAAATCATCTTAAGAGGGAGAATATTTATTCCAAACTTTCTATCTTTTAATAAGAGGTGGTAGAATCAGAAGAATTTGAATCAGTCCTGTGTATTCAGTGAGGGGTTGGTTGGCTAAGGCTGTTTTATGTATAAATTGAACTCTGGTCCTTGCGCTTGCAAGGCAGGCCACTGAACTGCTGAGCTAAATCCCCGGCCCTATAAATCATCTTAAGAGGGAGAATATTTATTCCAAACTTTCTATCTTTTAATAAGAGGTGGTAGAATCAGAAGAATTTGAATCAGTCCTGTGTATTCAGTGAGGGGTTGGTTGGCTAAGGCTGTTTTATGTATAAGCAAGGTAAGCAAAGCACAGGGTTGTTTTTAAACTTTTTACCTTGGAGTCATTTCTGTACAAGATCTTAAACTGATAACTTGAAAACTGCCATGCCCCTGCTGTGGGAATCAGTGTGGGGCAAACAGGAAGCAGATAACGGGCACTCAGGGTAGTTACAGTTGTGCTGTCACTGAGAACAGACGCCCCAGAGATCACTGACTGTGTAGGAACATCGGGGTAACTTTCGGATGACAACTGGCTAGTCTTCATTTGTGTAACTTCTACTGTATCTCCAACTTTTCAATTCTGTCTTCCAAAAATCTTAGCTGTAAGCTGGTTCTTTAAACCACGAAGAGTATTTTTCAAGGTTCCCATCATGAATTTACAGAGCTTGGATGATTCATTTACAAGACGGAAAGTGAAAATAATAAATATAATTTAGAAATTATATATAATTTCTGACATAATATAAATACATTCATACATAATAAATCTGTATATAAATGGTGTTCTTCTATTTGGAGAATTTTATAGACTTGTTGGGTTCAGAAAGCTGAAGAAAGGGCCAGGTGGAAATTTAGAACATGGTGGCCGGTGAAATGACCATAACCTTGACTCCACCCTTCTGTTCTCTCATAGAGAATGGATCCTCTGAACCTAGCACTTGGACCCTGCCCTGGTACTCTTGGTGTCCAGACTAGCTTCTTTCTGGGAAAGAAATAGGTGCCAGAAACTTGCCCCCTTACCTGGCCCATCTAGGAACAATTTTTGGTCCTAGCACTACCATTCTTAATTAGTCATCACCATTGTCTCTGTTTGTTTTAAAAAAAGGAAACTGAGGCAATGATGTTTTAGGCTGAATCTATTAAAATCACTGATCAGCAGGGACCAGAGTCAGAGATCAGACTCTAATCCAGGTTTGTCTTCCAGAACACCAGAGTTCAGATTCATAAGACTCTTGTTGTTGTTTAACTTGGTTGGAAATTTTTTCCAACTGAACCAAGAGCCAGGGCAAGAACAAGGCAGAAAACGGAATGCAACCCCTTTAGTTCCCTTTTCTTCAAAAAGAAATCTCGGTAGGAACAGAGTTTACTGATCTATTGTTACTTGTTTAATTGTTCCCAAATAAAAAGTGTGTCTCCATGTGGATAAACAAATGGAAACTGAAGTTAATTCACACTTGCTTGTCTTTGACCATTACTTGGTCCATGTCACCAGCAGGCTGGGTGTGGGAACAGAAGATTTAAAATAGGAATTTCAAACACTTTTAAGAAGTAAAGCAGTGATTGAGCTCTAAGTTATAGGCCCTAGCCTAAATCCTTTGAGTAGGTTTTCCTTTATCACCCAATAAGGAAGAGACAGTTATTTTGTCTCTCCATGTTTTTTAGAGGAGGTACACTGGGAACTGAGCCCAGAGGCTTAAGCCAGGCAAACCCTCTACCACTGAGCCAGTCCCCTACCCTTTTGTAAAACTTTACAGGCAGGGTCTTGCCAGGTTGCCTATGCTGGACTTAAACTTGTGATCCTCCTGCCTCAACCTCCTGAGTAGCTGGGGTTACAGGCTTGCACCACTCTACCTGGTTTATTATGCACCTTTTATAGATGAAGAAATCATGGCTCACAGAGGAAACATAGTTGTACCAAGATACACTGAACCACAGGTAGAAAAATGGGGTCTTCACCTAGGTGGGATGATTTTAGAAGGCGAGGTTACAGCCACTGAAATATACTGCCACCCAGAAGAGTCTTTCTCATCAAAGAGTTCTCGTTGTCTTTCTCTCTCTCTTCTTTGCTTTGATTTCCTCTCTACATCAATTGTTCAGTCATCATTAATATATTTATCTATATTTTGCTTTTTTCAAAAAGAATGTAAGACATTTTACAGAGCGCATTCAACACAGCAAATTCAAAGTAGCTAAAAAGCAAGAAAAAGAAAGCAAAAACTTAGGTCACAAAAAATAAGGTGGAACCAAAATTTAAAGAGTTTACAGAAATGCCTGTGATAAGAAGTCCTATCCACATGCTAGGAGAGGGTGTCAGGCCTGGCTCTGTGTTTCCTTACAGCCAGTCCAAAAGGAACGACGTGTTAGTCATTGTGTATGTAAGATGAAAACATAGCTGTTACTCAGATAAGGCTGTGGAATTCCTAATAAGGCCAGAGTGAAGTTTTTCCATGGATTCACATAGAGAAGATGCTGAGAGACGTTTACAACACATTTTCTTAGTGTTAGCAGCTGAATCCCTTAGGGAAGAGTCTGCAGGTAGGATGAAATGTGGGATAAACTTGTGAATGGGTATCTTGGATCTGAGCACCAGACAATTCAGCCTATACTTCTGTCTTCATGACCGTCCAAGGATCACATGGAATTTGAGAGGTTCAGGCATTAATATGTCTATTTTGCTGGAGTACCAACCACTACCCCTCAGAGACAGATGAAGGTCTACTTAGCAAATGTGCAATGCAGTCCACAAACAATTTTAAAGATGAGGGGTCCCTTACATTAAAAATTGGTGTTGTGTGTTTCTTTGATTTTTTTGTTATTGTTGTTGTTTTGCTGATTTTATTTATCTATTTTCTTTTTTCTTAGACAAGAGATCTCAGCAAAGGTAAGTAAATTTTACAGGCAAAGAGTTTCTATATCTGTTGATCCTTTATTTTTCTTAGGATATGTCCTGTCACAACTAGACACATTAATCCCTTAGCAGTTATTAACCTGGGTGTCTCATCTAAATGAAGTTTCCAGGTAAAGTGGTAAATCAGTAGCCACCCTGGAAAGCTGTGTTTTTGGTACTAGTAGAGCTGAATGAATGAATAAATGTATTAGGAAGAGGCAGTTTAAGTAAAGAGAGTTTTCTTGATTCCAATTTTTTTTGAGGATTAAAGGCTGAACAGACATTAAGAATTACATGTAATAATTGAGATGCATTTATTGAGAAACTAATGAACCACAGACCTTAAGAACATATATCCCTAGAGCACAGACCCAACAACGTCTAACATAGAAGGGTAAATGACTACCCTAACTCTGATCCTAGTGTGACCCCAAGCACTGACCTTCAGAAACATGGAAATGGTGAGGCTTGTGAATTCTACCCACAGCTTTCCAAAGAAACATTTATTTTTCAGTTTGCTCTCAAGATTCCAATCCTTAACCCAGAGAAATAAAGATGGGAGAAATGAAGATGGCAAAATATTTTAGTTTTATGAGTTTAGTGACTTGCTTTAAAATTTTAGCAAGGAGAGTATAAGTAAAAAGAACCGACAATGACATTTTGGTGATATATTGAGTAGCCAGGTGGACAACTCAGCTTTTAAAAAAAATGTTGGAAATGAAGCGAGATGTTTTCTAAAAAGGTTGAGAACTTGTTCAGACAACCATCTCACCAACCACAAATTTTCACTGAGGAAATCTTAGTAGTTTGGTGAGTTGGAGCTCAGGGTAGGGAGGAGGTGCCAGAAGGCAGATGCTAAAGTCATTGATCAGCCACATTAAGGAATACTGACCTTGTCCTGTGTTCTTGAGGACATGACCAAAGATGTCTGTGTGTGTCACATCTGCCTGCCCTGAGGATCCCTGCACAGCAGTGGGAGAACCATGGATGATGAGTGAGTCTGGAGACAGAGACTGTGTAGGAGGCATTTGAAATTATCAGGGTAAAGCTGTGTGGAGAAATTGCAGTGATATTGGGTTCATGATATAAAAGGAGGTAGAATCAACTGAACAGGGATCTGAACGGAGAAGGGAAGGGAACAAAAGTGGGTGGGGGGAGAAATTGCTATGCTTCTGATTTGGCAACTGGTGGGTTGTAGTACTATTTATTGCCTAGAAGGGAACATAAAAGAATCAGACATTTTGGAGACAAAGATCTTGAGTTCAGGTTTGTACATGCTGAGCTTCAGGTGTCTGTGGTCCATCTGTAGTTCATTGGATCTCTCCACAGCACAGGTCCTACCTTGAGTTCTCCCATTTCAGGTGACAGTCATCGTAGGAATGGGTATGATCATCCAGAGAAAGTATGCATTTGAGAATGGAAAAAGACAAGCCAGAGGGCGGGAACCAGAGCACCATCAACATCCAAGTCAACTAAGGGAAAGACGAATCAAAGAGGTGGCCAGAGAGGTAGAGGCAAGATGCAGAAGAGCCAGGAAACACAAATGCTGGGGGAAAAGGAAACAAAAATAGTCTCAAATAGTGAAAGAAGAACCCATGTTTCCGCTGGGTATAACTAGGGTGTCAGCAGGGAGACAGTTTTCGGTGCAGACAGAAGTCAGATGCCAAAGGGTTAAGGAATTATTCTGGATGAGAAGCAGAAGCATGTAGTCATCTCTTTAAGAAGTTTGGCTACAAAGGGGAGAAGAGAGACGGGTTACTGGATGGGGGCAGGGTCCAATGATGTGCTTTTTACTCTATTACCTTATCTTCTCTTTAATTGCGTAGTTGGGGGTCCAAGTAGGAAAGGGTCCCTTTTTGGAGTTGGCTCTCTATCTTTGTGGCAGGAAACCCACAAGATGCAAAAGTTTATTTCATGCCCCTGTACACTGAGTGAAAGTCTTTCCTGGCACAGTCTACCCAGATCTTTCTGCCCACAGGAACCACCTATTTGAACTTCTTCTAGATGGAAACAGGTCAATCCGGGCTTTTTTTTATTTTTTAGATGTTTTAAGGGGACAGAAAGGGATGCCAGCTAGAAGGATATTAGCTTTAATTACAATATTAGGCAAATAGCCATATTAAGCTTAGTAATTCACTGATTTTTACAATAAATGAATTAATCATTGTTTATTGAACACTTTTGTGTTGGAACAATGCTAAGCTTGACTGAGACACCAAGAGGAGTAAGCCCTTGTCCCCTAGCCTCAGGGAGATTACTGTCCTGTTAGGAACTTAAGACAGAAAAAAAGAAAATAAAATCCAGAAAAATATAAGGAGGAGTATGGCAACGGCTAGGGAATTTTGCATTGGTGAAAAGAAAGATCATTGGGCTTGGTGATCACAGAAAAATTTTATAAAGGAGATGGATCTTGGATTCCTTTGTTTGTTTGTTTGTTTTTGGTTTTTTGAGACAGAGTCTCACTATGTAGCTGAGTCTGACCTGGAACTCACTATGTAGCCCGGGCCGGTCTCGAACTGACAGCGCAGATTCCTTTTTAAAGGACAGATGGTATTGAGGCTGATGGAGAGTCAGGGAAGGACGGAAGTCCAGAGGAGGGAAAGATGGACAGTGATGTGGCTGCGAATCCATGGTTAGGCCAGTGAACAGGGCCTGGAGCCCATGGCCTCTTTAGTTCCTGTGGAACAGAAGCTGGAAAGGAAGGTTGGCTCCATCCATCCATATGTGTCCCCGTTGTCTTATCAGGTGGTCTGGAAGAACTTAGCAATTGCTCAGCTGCCCTAGGACAACTCTCATTTATTGACCACAGTGACCTCAATCCATAGAATCAGAGACTTTCAGGTCTGAAGAGAATCTTGGTAGACACCATATTCTCTTGGTTCAAAGAACTAACTAACTTTTCTCTAGGCTTTGAGCTAGTGAAAGTAGTAAATTCCTATCAAATATTAATTTCAATGAAATAATTAAATATTGCTTGCAAGCCTATGAGAGTAGGTACTGCTAATATCCCCATTACACCAGACACAGGGAGTTGCAACAGCTAGCATGACTTCATTGGATAGATGGCAAGACAGATTTGTAAGCACCTGGATCCAGGTATCATGTACCCCTTAAGATTCTAGAACTCAGAAACCTGACTCTTATGTTACAACTCCCAGCTGCTCTTTTCTTTTAGCAATACGATGTGGGGTTTTTTTTGTTTGTTTTTTTGGGTTTTTTTTTTTTTTTTTTTGCACACTAGACCATTGTGTCATGGCACTGAGGAAGGGTGGGGTGGAAGAAATAGAGTATTTCTTTTTAAACCGTTGAGCTGACTCTCACCAACCTTTCACTCATTCCCATTAGCCGTAGGCTGGTGAATGAGTGTCTCCTTGGGAAGATGTGGTTTTGCTTCTTGGTGGTTTTTCTGACTCTTTCTGCAAACCAGTTCTGTTTATCACATTTGGTTTCCAGTGTCTAAATTCTACTCGGGTAAAAGCTACACCCAAGATACACAGGAAGATACGATGCCAACCTCAGAGGAGGGTATCTGTCAGGTTCTGTTTTGAGAAACATTTTCAGCTCTATTTTGGCAGGCACGTTTGCAGCTGCACAGCTGTGGTTTGCCCTGACAGCTCAACATGAGACCAGAGTCTCAGAATCTGGTTCTCCCTTTGAAAGATACCAAGACACACCAAATCTGGTTCTCCCCTCCTTTTCAAGAATTATAATTATAACACACACAAAAGTGTCATTTATTTCATGAAACTACATTTGTCACCATCTCCTTAAATCACAACCTACCAGAATCAGACATTTAGACTTAAGACCATTCCTTTCATGAACTTTGATTTTTTTTTTCTCCCATTTCACTTTCCACTTGAATATGGCATCTTTTGCATTCCTGAGCCGCCCCCGTTCTCACTCAACATCCTTCAGACTCCTCAGGTCTGGAGGTATTGATTGCCAGGCAGCATCTATCTGGGTACCATCTGCGGACCAGCAGCATGAGCTCACTGGCAGCTGCTTAGAGATGCAGGACCCCAGACCTGGTCAGACTCACTGAGTCCATTTGCATTTTAATGCCACCTCTGGTGGCCCTGCTGCTCCAGTCCTCTTCCCATCCACTTTAAAATGTCCTGCAGCTGTGCTCAGTTTCCAGCTGAGAGCAGTTCCTTGTGCCTCCTGTCACCTTTAGCCCTTGATTACTAACACTTTAATTTTGGCAATTGTTAAAGCTCCTTAGTTTATTTGGTAATTGCTTGCTTTTCTTTCAGCATGGATGACCCATACTAATGAATCCACCTTATGTGAAAAGAAAATTCTGGAGATGCTACAGAATCATAGGAAAATGACTTCAAATCCTCCCATGAAGAGTTTGCATGGCGCTGTCTCCTACATCACAGATGACGCGTGTGTGTCCTTCAGTGTAGCTGAAAGGGTGTTGTCTCAATGACCCACAGCCCCTTCTGCTCCCATTTTGCCCCTAATCACCCCGTCCCTGACACCCCGCTGTTTATATAGCTCAGTCTTTGTTATCTTTTCTGTAGAGAAATAAGAACTTGGGGGGGAAAGATTACTATGAAATATAAAGATGTCTGATTTTGCTTTCCTAACTCTTTATTTCCCATTTCAATCCAATACCGTCCGTGATACTGAACACTTCTAAATACAGTGAAAATGTGTTACACGTGTAACCACTGACTCATTTTTCTTACAGATCAAATTTTACCTCCTCCATCTTCTGAATACTGTGCGGGTAGGGTACACTCTTACAGAAAGTTCATAAAGTTGATGTTATCCCGCCCTTCCCATCCAGTGAATTAATGGGGTCCTGCTCAAGTTAGGAAAGTCCTATCTGCATTGCACCCCTATTCTGTAAATAGAGGTCACCCTATGTGACCACCTTGAGCACCCCTAATGCTCAGTTGGATGACTTCCACATGCAGCACCCATGGGCATCAAATTAAAAAGACAAAACAAAACAGGAACACACCCTGTACTGTTTCAATTTTGAGTTCTGGTGTCTCTTCTTCCCACCCAGATTTTTTAAGTCAATTCTTTTTTTTTTTTTTTTGTTAACATAGAGACACCAGTGTACAGCTAGCTGCAGGTGACGTCGCTTTGATGCTATGGAGAACAGTTAAAACAGGTAGAGAGATTCCTTGATTTGTGTTAATATCAACCCCTTCCCTTCTTCCAGATCTCTCACCTACCTACATAGATTTTAGCCTTTGAGATTCATGTCAGGCACCCTCATCTTTGCCACTGTTTCATAACAAGTTCCTAACCAGTCCAATGTATGGCGATCTCCTCCTTTCTGGCTTCCCACTGCAAAGTGAGTCTGTAGCACAGGCAATTCTGCACTTAAATTCAGCCTTAAATTTTAAGATGTTTATTTATTTACATTTACCCAGGGTTTGGAGTGTAGTTCAGTGCTAATATGCATAAGGTCTTTTCTTTGGCCCCTGCACCACAAAAACAAAAGCAAAAATTTAGTTAGATTAAAAAAATATTATAATGTATTCTGTATTCTCCCCAATAAGATCGCACATGCCTTACAGGTGGAGATGGGGCCAGATCCTGCAGAGTTCAGTTCATTACTTGACACTCAGGAAATGCATGTTCAAATAAATCAGGAAGTGCATACGGTGCACTTCTAATGTACGTTTTAGGAAATGCTGTCTCCATGGCAGGTAATGATCCGGACCGATACCTAGCATCAGTGTTTGAATTGTTATAAAAGAACAGGACCCTAACAGAAACTAGCTGAAAATACCTCCTTGTCCTGTGACCAATAAAGCTTTCATACAAATTTGCACATCTTATAAGAATCATCTTTTGGTAAAAAGTCACCTTAGATTCTGCATTCCAGCAAGGGCTAGTGCAAAAGACCCCTCATCTCATGCATCTACCAGGATGTGTCATTCACACTCTTGTGGCTCAGACGCTACTCCTCGGAGTTGCCATACACAGCCCGCATAGACTCACATGCAGGTGCTCACAGCTCTGTCTGCAAATGCTACTCAACTGAACATCAGGGCCAAGGAACCCAAGTGAAGACTATTTTTGGTAGTAAGATGTATATGGATTTAAAAATACAAGCTCTGAGGCTAGTGTATTATCTTAGGAATTATTCATTATAACTAGGAATTGTACAATTATATATGATTAGATTCATCCACATCCCTCCAGAAGTAGTTCTGGGCCGTCTGAGATGAGAAGCCATGTGCTCAGATGAGAAACCAGCTCTCAGATTTCCCCAGCAGGTCAGCTGTGGTGAGGAGGGAAGGTGTGTGGCGGGGGAGTCAGACACCGTGTGAGTCCTGCTTCTACCTTCATGGTGTCTCAGGTGAGTCATGACCTCGGTGAACTGCAGAGACACTTGTGAAATGGGGATGCCATTATCCTCTTCCTCCTCCAGTAAATAAAATCACTTTCCTGTCACCCGGGATGAATTTTTATTTTTATGAAATCAACAGAGTTCAAAGTGTAGGGGAAAGGGTCTGTAGACAGGAAAAGAATAGAATACGGGCTTCATTAGGGTATCTAGCAAATCCTGACCAGAAACAGTTAAAACCTTGCTGGAGAAATTCATAAGACAAGAGGGTGAGCTACTGAGGGGGCGCGGAGCCAGGTGCCTACCTAAGGTAGCAGCCCCTTACCCACTTCCAATAAAATGCAAAAGAGTTAAGGGGGGTGGCCACCTAAAACTCTGATTTAAAATATAAATACACACACACACACACACACACACACACGTATTCTCACTCTAAGGTAACTGTATTGCTTTACTAGAGAACACATCCCCTTAATCACTAACTTTAAGTTGCCTTGTCTGTAAGGCCCCTCCTAATTAACCTGTAAATCCTAGACATATGACCCAGACAAGGACAAGTGAGCATGGAGAAATCAAGCAAAATACACTAAAGAAATGTGCCTGTAGACAGTGGCACTGGGGTTAGGGCCTTGGAGCCTGGGATTCATCTATGACAGTCCAGACAGCTAATCAGTCTGTGACAAGTTCCAGGGATTGACCTAAAATGGAAGGGCTCCCCACAACATAGTAAAAGGAAGGCCCATGGATATTCACCTTTCTGATGCCCCTGCCCTGGTATGGGACAGCTCTCTATCTTCTCCTTTCCCTCATTTAAAATAAAGTGTCTTCCTTCCTAAACTTTGTCCCTTTAATTCATTATAGGTGTTGAGTTTACAGTCTGGATGAGCTGCTCAGAAAGTGGAGCAGCAGTGTGGTGCACACTTCTTTCTTTTTTTGGTACTGGGGATGAAACGCGGGACCTTGCACTTGCAAAGCAGGTGCTGGAACCACTGAGCTAAATCCCCAGCCCAATGTGGTACATACTTCTGATACAACAAAGAAACACACAATTATCCATTCCTCTGGAAATGTTTACCATAGATCAGTTTGCCTGGGGTACACTATGGCAGTTTCCTACAGAAATATTTCAACAAATTAAAATCTAATGGTATTGCTTCAGCTCTGACATGAAAGATCTGCTACCCAAATGCCACATACTTCCTGTGTAACTCTTGGCTTCCCTGCAACTTGGCTCTATTTTTCAACATAGGCCTAAAGTGGAACCAGATCTGTAATGACCTAATGAGAAATAGTGGGGTAAGAAAGAGGCTTCACAAATAATCTCCCTATGAAAAATTAAGAAGATTACCCTGTAGATATCTGTGTTCTTTCCCCAACTTTCCTGTTCTCTGCAGGCTGAACTGCCTCTTCACTTCCCCTTTTCTCCAAAGTTCTAAACCTTTCTTCTTGGCAATACGACTCTTCCTTCTGTTGAATGTCCCCATAAACAGACAGGATGAAAATCTGTCATCACCAAACCTACAATCCATGAGATGGGACGGAGAAGCTATTCAAAGAAAGAATGAGATCTTTGCTTACTTTTGGCCTAAGTGGTTCTGTCTGACGTAGTGGGCTCTCAGAATTTTATGACATGCCTGCAGACTTTCCTATGTGACTCCGCAAAGGGCTGTAGTTGGAATTGAGTTTCACTCTGCAATTTGGTACAAAGCTTGGTCCACATAACAGATCTGGCAGCAGTATGTCCAGCACTGATTGTTTTGATAATAGTAGTAGTGTGATAATGAAATTAGTGGGGTAATCTTCTAAAACAGAATGTTACCTTAAGCTCACCTTAGTTGGCATCCACTTATCTAGGTTGGCATCCAAGTCTCCTTTGGGGAGAAAACTACCTTTTCTTTATGAGCCTCAGGATAGAAGGTGAGACCCTGCAGTTAGTAAAAACTCAAGCAGCAGGAATGCATAACTAAAGCACTCTGTAAGAAAGTGTAATTTGGAAGTTTTGGGGCAGTTTTTTGGGTCTTCTATATATAGTATCATATCATCAGCAAATAATGACAGTTTAACTTCTTCTTTTCCTATCTTTCTTCCTTTTATTTCTTTCTCTTGTCTAATTGCTTAGCTAATGTTTCTAGAACTATATTGAACAGGAGTGGTGATAGTGGACAACCTTGTCTTGTTTCTGATTTTAGCGTGAAGGTTTTCAGTTTTTGACCATTTAGTATGATGTTGGCTGTTGGCTTTTCATAGATAGCCTTTATCAGGTAGAGAGATAAAGACCATCTATTCCAATTTTCTGTAGGGTTTTTATCACGAATGGGTGTTGAGTTTTTTCCATTAAGTTTATTGTTACATTTAAAGCAAACAATACAGTTACTTTATAATTGGGATCTTGTACCTTTACATGATATATCTCGGTTATTTTTTCCCCATACCCCTGCCCTCCCTTCACCCCTTTCACCCTTCCCTGTTTACAAAGACTTTGTTTCCTTTTTTCATTTTTTCACATTTTTTCTTTTCCCTTATTTCCTTTCCCCTCCCCTTCCCACTTCCCCTTTAGCCATTTTCTTCCTATTTCACACTCCCAATTATGGGTGTTAAATTTTGTTGAATGCTTTTTCTGTATCTATTAAGATGATCATATGGTGTTTGTCCTTGACTCTGTTAGTATAGTGTATTACATTTACTGATTTAAATATGTTGAACCATCCTTGTATCTCTGGGATAAATCCAACTTGGTTGGGGTGTATGACCTTCTTGATGATCTTCTGTATTCTGTTTGCCAGTATTTTATTGAGGATTTTTGCATCTGTGTTCATTAGGGAGATTGACTGCCCTGTAGTTCTCTTTTTTGGTTGGGTTTTTCCCTGGTTTTGGCTTCAAAGTAACACTTGCTTCCAGGAATGAATTTGGAAGAATTGCTTCCCTTTCAATTTCATTGAAGAGTTTAAAGAGTAGTGGCAATAGTTATTCTCTAAATGTCTTATAGAATTCAGCAGTGAAGCCATCAGGACCTGGGCTTTCCTTTGTTGGTAATGTTTTAATTACATTTTCAGTTTCACTGAATGTAACTGGAGTGTTTGGACTTTTTATATCTTCTTCATTCAACTTTGGAAGTTCATATGTATCAAGGAATCTGTCCATTTCCTCTGTGTTCTTCATTTTATTAGAGTACAGGTTTTCAAAGTAGGTGTTGATGATTCTCTGGATTTCTGGTGGATCTGTTGTGACTTCACCTTTTTTTCACTTCTAATGGCATGAATTTGAGCCTTTCCTTTTTTTGATAAGGTTGGCTAAAGGTTTATCAATTTTATTTGTTCTTTCCAAAAAC